CCCCCCCCCCCCCGGGATTTGAGAGAAACTGTAAGATAGAATTATAAATTCATGCAGGGAGTTAAAATAAGATTAGGTTGCCTTGATATTTCCTCCCAATACTTTTTTTGAGGGGCAGTCAACACTTACTGAATTCCTACTGGGGGACACAGTATTGTGGGAGCAATGTATAACTCTTTCCTCTGGAGGTTGTGACATACTCAAGGTTGGCAGTCTTGTATGGGTGGGCCTTTATTTTCTCTACTCATGAGGTATTGTGGCAGGGGGTGAGTAGGATGGTAAAACAGCCAGTTTTATCTCTGTTCATCTTTCTTTCTCTCCAGGTTGTGTGCTAGCTTTCTCCCTGAAAGCTCAGAGGTTGTTTGCAACTATCTTGCCTCTGTTCTCATTTGCAATCCAAACCTCACTGAGCTTGACCTGAGTGAAAATCCCCTGGGGGATACAGGGGTGAAGTATCTTTGTGAAAGTCTCAGACATTCCAACTGTAAAGTGGAGAAACTAGAGTAAGTTTCTTAGAACTGTCTGGTAGCATCTTATGACTATTGAATTTGTCAAGTGCCTGCTGTGTGCCAAGATCTATGCTTGGTGCTTGGCAGAAGTTATTTCATCTAATTCACTCTTTCCAATAACCTTAAAAAATGGATTTGTATTTCCATTGTACAGATGAGGAAATTGAAGATCACAGGGAAAAGTGATTTGTCCAAAGTCACAGCACGCGAAAGTGGTATGGTCAGGATGTGACTCTAAAATCTGATCATGGGGAAAAGTGACTTGTCCAATGTCACAGCACTCAAAAGTGGTATAGTCAGGATGTGACTCCAAAATCTGTCTCCAAATCTCATGGTCTTTCCATTATATTACCATCTTGGATGCTTACAGGAATGCCACTACTTAAATATTAATTATATAAAGAACACCTACTATGCACCCAACACTGGACTAGATGTAGGTAGTTTTGTCAGAAGGACAAGTGACAAGGCTGCCCTTAAGGGCACACAGATATGAAACAATTGGAGAACAACACAGTTCATTCAATGTGTAATGCAGTGCCCAACACTGTGGAATCATTTAGAAATGCCAGATGAGCCCAGGGAAAGGTAGGAGGTCCCTATGAGCTGGAGACCTCAGGAGGAGTCTTTGTGAAGGAGCTGCACTAGGAGCTGGAACTTGAAGGATGGCTAGAACTTAGTTATATGGGGAGTCTAGGAAAAGCTAAATGCAGCAGTGGCTGATTTTTCTTCTTTTTCTCTTGGTAGCTTGAGCACATGTTACCTAACAGATGCTAGCTGTATGGAGCTCTCTTCTTTCTTGCAAGTGAGTCAGACTCTAAAAGAGTTGTTTGTGTTCGCCAATACCCTAGGAGACATAGGAGTACAGCATCTCTGTGAAGGTCTGCAGCATGCACAGGGTATAATCGAGAGTCTTGTGTAAGTGTCTACTTATCCTTGTTCTCATGGGCCTTGGCATTTGAAGTTCAGTGGGACTCTATGGTTAACAGCCACCTTGGTATCCCCATTCCTCCAGGCTTTCCCAGTGTTCCCTTTCTGCGGCTTGTTGTGAGTCCCTCGCCCAAGTCCTGAGCTCCACCCGGAGCCTGACAAGGCTGCTTCTAATAACAAAATTGAAGATTTGGGACTGAAATGGCTGTGCGAAGGATTAAAACAGCCTGACTGTCAGTTAAAGGATCTGGCGTAAGTATCATGGACTATAGCCACAGGCTGAGTTTCCTGATGTTTCAGCAACTCTTAAAATTAAATGAGTATTTTTTGGCCTGGTGATTGAATCTCCAAGGAAGCAATAATTGAAGATCCAAATAATTCGGGGGGGAATAAATGTTCCTCTACTCCACAATCTCCGCTTGGACCTGGCCCAGGGGATTTTTTTTTACACAACACTCTGAGTTTCTAATGTGTTTTTCCAGTGGGCAAATAGAATTTCTAAAGTGACTCAGTGCAGATGAAATGATGCCAGCCTTCTCTACCTTACTTCCCGGCAGACTGTGGACCTGCCACCTGACTGGAGAGTGTTGTCAGGATTTGTGCAATGCACTCTACACCAATGAGTACCTGAGAGACCTTGACCTCAGTGATAATGCCTTAGGGGATGAGGATATGCAGGTGCTGTGCGAAGGGCTGAAACACCCCTCCTGTAAACTACAGACCTTGTGGTAAGTGCACAGGGACCCTTTATTCACCAGGCTCTTGTTCCAGGCTATATATGAAATGGAGGGTCTTTTTGGAACTTGGGATAAAACTGATTTCTTCCTCAAATCCCTAATCCTCCTTAGGTTAGCAGAATGTCATCTCACAGATGCGTGCTGTGGAGCCCTTGCCTCTGTCCTCAACAGAAATGAGAACCTGACACTGCTAGACCTAAGTGGAAATGACCTCAAGGATTTTGGAGTGCAAATGCTGTGTGATGCACTGATTCAGCCAATATGTAAACTACAGACATTCTAGTAAGTTAATGTGGTGGGAGAAGTGGGAGGGAGGGGGTCAAGGCAGACATGTTGGGTTTGACCATAGGCTACTGCAGTGGGGAAAGAAGAACTGAGAGCAAGCCATGCCGAGGCAAAATATCAAAGGAAGTGAAATTACCAGTAGGCCTCCTCCTTGGACACGGGGCCAAAGAGAGAGGCAGAGAACAGGCAGCACTGGATCTCACTGCTAAGAAAAGCATCATGGTGTAGGAAAAAGAGTATCAGATTAGATTCTTTTAGGTCTGGCTTAAATACTAGGTTTAGCATCTACTAGCTACATACCCATGGTTACCTAACCTCCCTGCACTTAAGTATCCTTGTCTGTAAAATGGAGCTAATACTAGTACTTGACTATCTGGTGTTGACATGGGGATTGAATGAAGTGAAACATTAATTATAAATGCACCCAGTATAACCTTTGGCACATAGATGGTGCTCCATAAATGTTAGATTCTTTCCATTTTCTCTTCTAATACTTGCTAGAGGTCTTAATGTTTACATTTGAGAGTCTTCAAGACTCAAGGAAATGAAGCTATAATGATGCAATGATAGGAAGTAGAGGTCTTGACCCTTTCTGGTCAATGTCCATCTGCCAGCTCAGCAGGCTGGCACTGACACACAAAGTCATTCTTAATTAGGATACAGCTATGCTGTGTTGGCAGCTAACCAGTGACCAAACGGCCATTCATTTCTGGAATTCAGAACTGGAACACATAATGGAAAATAAAGGCTGAGTGCAAAAATTCCACATTCAAGGCCAATTTGATGGATTGAAGCATAAATGCAAACAACATAAAGGCCTGATTACAAGTATGGCTGAAACAGAAGCTGGATCTCTACTAGCAAAGTGAAGTATGTTAGTTTCAAAGGCTTGAAAGTGTGGTGATTACTGCCCAGAAAGGGGGAGTTACTCACAACATGATAAGCGTCAGGGATTTAGGGACCTTCAATGGTGTCTTTCTCAAAAGAAATAACTGCAGCCTATATTGTTAGCAGGTTGGAATAAGCTTAATGACCAATCCTAATGTTTCTTTAAATATTGAGTAATTTGATGTGGTAGCATTCTATATTGTGTGTGCTTCAGCAATGGTCCTAAGTGACAGCAAGGAGAATTTTTTTTTGTTGTCATGGCATGCCATTATTTGCTTTTTTATTGTAAATTGTTATGCTGTTTCCTGTATCTCTTGCTCTTTGCCTTTTAACCAATGTGCTTCCATTGTGTTTTCATGCCAGCCTTCAAACCTTTAGAACTTGTCGATCAATAAGTTGATAACAGTGGGCAATAATAGCTCAGAATACAAAACAAAGGACACACACACGCACACACACACACATACACACACACACAGAATAGACACCATTCACTGACCTCAAATCAGTTTTGAATGTTAGAGTATATATAAAACAAACAACACTGAAATTAATAGAAATATATACTTATCCATGTAAGGTGAGAGGAAACTATGGATGATTTAATGCTGTGGTAGGATAGAGATGGAGTAAATCCAGGAGAGCCTTCTAAAAGGGGGAAATTCTGCTGGAAATTGCAAAGGCTGGAGGAAAAAGGTTATTTTCTAAGAGCTGCTTGAGTGTGAGGCTGAATCTTATTCCTCATTGTATTCTCCCCCTGCCCCAATAAAAAGTTCCTGGCTCATTGCTTTGCATATAGTAAATACATACAGAAGATCAATTAGTAATTTAGAGCATCTAGAGGCAAAGAGACACTTAATGATATATCCAATAAAGACTATGTGTCTAGACATTCAAAAGGTCAAGGAATAAAAGAGATTGTGGCCTCAGAGGAGAGAGCTCACCTTCATTCATTCTACCAGTACTTGCTGAATATGTGCCATGTACCAGGCAAGTGTGCCAGGTGCTAGGAGACAAGAGTGAATAAGACAGGAGACATGATCTGTGCTCTTCAGGGGCCAGTGGGCTTAGTGGTAGAGACAGGCACATAAACTGAATAATGCAATAAGGGGATCGTAAGGTCTTGAGGGAGTCATGGCAGGAGACAACCCACCCAGTCCAAGACGGGCAGGGAAACCTTCTTGGAGGAAGGACCACCTGAGTTAAGTTTCAGGACTATTGCCAAGAGAAATAGTGGTAAGGATGGAGAAGGGTAGTCCAAGCTCAGGAGATGCATGAGCAAGATAGCCAGACAATAAACAGTACAGTTTATGGTACTTGATAGGGAAATGGGTGGGAAATATCCAAGGAGTTTGCTATTTCTGGAGCATAAAGTACAAAGCAGAATGTGTCAAGAAGTGAGACTGAGGGGGTAGGTAAGGCCTGTATGCCATATGTGATTAGTAAGACCTGTTAGCAGAATTCTGGGTACAAATTCAGCCCTTGCTCTCGTTCTCTCTCTCTCTCTCTCTCTCTCTCTCTCTCTCTCTCTCTCTCTCTCCCTATCTCTGATACTCTAGCAGTGGTACATTTTGAGGCCTCTCCTCACGTTTCCAAAATTGGTCCCCAAGGTAGAGCTAGTTTTGCTTCCAAAGTTGGTTGAAGAATCAGTCCACTGCTGCTCCTGTTTCTCGCTGCCACAGGGGGCTGATCCTAAGAACTGAATCTAACCAGTCCCACAGAAGTTTGGTTACTAGACTGTGATGCCCTGGCTGGTCTGGATCCCTGCTAGCCATGCAGTGCCATTATACTTGGGCTTTAAGGCTACAGATATATTAGTCCACACCCAAACATACAGCCATTGTTCTCTAAAGTACTGTATATGTCAGGGTGGTTGGGTCTAGAGGAGCTCCTGGAATCAGCCACAGATACACACACACACACACACACACACAATATATATATATATATATATATATGAAACCTGCCCTTGCCCCACAAAGACATAGGCCCTTGCCCCACAAAGACATAGGCCCTTGAGTTGAGTCAGGGGACCCACTTAAACCTTCTTTCTTCAAGATAATCTTATTTTATGGGCTGTGGCGCCTTTCACTGGCACTGGGTCTTGGATAAAGGCCCCTAGCTCACCCTGATATGTGTTCCTAATTCTAAATTTGGAAAGAAGGGGTTGATAATAACTGGTCTCTTAACTCCCAGAAGACCTCTGGGCTTCCTAAGCATATTGGTCTACCTCTTGCCCAACAGTGAGCTCTATACATCAAGAGGTAAGGCAACTTTTGCTAAGTCAGTAAAAAAAAAAATCTGAAGGTCTTGTTACACTTTTGTGGCATTAAGTATCTACTTACTGTACAATTTCATAATTAGCATGGTTACTCATTTCACTTTGCTAGATAAAGATTAGCTTCTATCCATTAAAAACTGAAATCTTTACCTCACTACACACTTGAAAGAGCTGTACCTTCTTTTGTAGTCAATGGGTTTTAATCAGGGACACACATATGGAGTTTGCACTGTGGGAAGTTTTCTAGTAGGTGGGCAGTTGGATATAGGAGTGTGCCTTGGAGATGATAGATGAAGCCATGGCAATGGATGAGATCCTCTGGGGAGAGTGAGAAGAGAAGAACCTCTGAGGAACATCTCTGGGGAATTAGCCCTGGGAAATACCAACTTTTTAAGAAGTGGGTATGGGAAAGAAAACCCATGGAGTAAACCAGGAGAGAAATGGTGTCCTGGAAGCTACGGGAAAAGTGAATTTCAAGGAAGAAGTGCTCAACAGTATCAAATGCAGCAGAGAGGTTCAAGAGGACGAGTACTGAAACATATATCCATTGGGTTTAGTAATTTGGAGGCCAGAGGGGACTTTCTCAAGGGCTGGTTTAGTGGCATGGTGGGGCCAGAAACCAGACTGCAGTGACTTGAGGATAGGAAGTAAGGAGGGGAGAAGGAGCAGAGACTAATCCTTCAAGAAGTTTGTGAAAAGGAGGAGCACCTGGGTGGCTTAGTTAAGTGTCCAACTTTGGCTCACATCATGATCTCACAGTCTGTGGGTTCAAGCCCTGTGTCAGACTCTGTGCTGATAGCTTGAAGCCTGGAGCCTGCTTCGGATTCTGTGTCTCCCTCTCTCTCTGCCCCTCCCCGAACTTGTGCTCTCTCTCTCTCAAAAAAAATAAACATTAAAAAAATTTTTTTAAAGTTTGTGAAAAGGAGAAGAGATATAGGGCTATGGCTGGGAAGACTGGTGGAACTGCAGGAAGGAGGGAGAGAGTTGGTCTTTTCCTTTTCTGGCTCATTGAGGATAGGCAATTCTGTAGTCTGAGTGAAAGCCCATAGAGAGGGAGAGGTTCCATATACAGGAGCAGGAACTAATGGACTGATGCAATGGGGCCCTGGACAAAGAGAGGGACAAGAGTGAGGGTCCAAGAGGAAGTTTTCTCAAGGAAAGGAGCTAAGGCTAAGGGAGGCAGTTGATGTGGGTTAAGTAACTCAGTGGTGGTGCTATGGAGCAAGTGGAATGGGAATCTTATCCTTGCGGATAGGAAAGCTACTGAAGGCATCTGCTGGCTTGACTTGACACAAGATTCTTTTCATTTTTCATAGCATTGACTCGGATCATTTACATGAAGAAACGTTCAGAAAGATGGAAGCTTTAAAAATGAGCAAGCCTGGAATCACCTGGTAGTTTCCAAGGAAAGCCCCTGAATCAGCTGCATATAGACTCCCTCGATCTGCCCCCATCTTTAACAGTTGTGCAATATTCTTGTTCTAAACCTGTTAACCATTGCCAAGGACCCTAGTGTGAAACAAACAGCAGTGATTTCTATTTCTTACATAGAATCATCCACTAAGTAGGATGTGAAAGGCAGAGGCACTTTAGTTCAAATGTCTTCAGCAATAATACCTTACATTTATATGTTGTGTTATAATGTTTACTATGTTCTCACAGAAACCCTCAAAAGTGGGAAGATGAGGCTCAGAGAGGCTGTGACTAGCTCTAGGTCACACAGCTCATTAGTGAGAGAATTGGGACTGGAATCTAGCCAGGTTTTACAATACCCAGACCAGACAGAGAAACAATAGAAAAAGAATGTGAAGGAGTCAACTTAAAGAAAC